CCGATTCCATTTCTGGCATTTCAAACTGCTCTACCTATTTCCATCTGAACCTGCCTTTTCTGTTAAGTGTTAGGGAATAAATCTTGTTTCAAAGCATTGTACTTTTAATACGTACTGAATACCATCTCTGTTCTTTACAGTTTAAAAGGATTCACAAGACCTGTTCATGCCTAAATTAGTTTATAACCTAAATTAAGTACTGTGCAGCTTAGTATAACAATGAACAGTGAAAATTCACCTTTTACCCTCAAGTCCTCCCATCCCAACCAAACTCAATCACACCCGCCAACAGCGATGATGCATAAGGGGTGTACAAGGTTGCACGTGCACTCTCTGAGAGTGCTGGTGGACCCCCTGACAAGCCACACTCCCTGCTTAAGCGATGGGCAGGGGGGGCAGGTGGGAGCGCAGGTGCCCCCCCCATGAGCGCCGGCCAGGGAGTGAGGGTGCCAGGTGAAGCGCTGCAGCCACTTCTGGGAGTGCTGTAGCCACTTCCGGGAGTGCCATGGCCACTTCCCGGTCGGCATGATCCGCAGGAGGACCACCTGCCCCCAGTCAGCGAGATTGGTTGCAGGGGGGCCTCCCCACCCCAGTTGCTGACTGGTCACTAGGGGGGGCACATGCCCCCCCGACTCAGGTGGCACCAGTTGCCCATGCCTGCCAACCACCTAGTCTTCTTTATTTTTCACTATTCCATGAAAAAAGCTGCATCAGAAAGATCTCTCTCTGGCAACTATGACCATTTTACTAGCCTCAACAAATCATCTTGTTTTCAAATTCAAAATGTTCTTGTTTTCACCTTCATGGTTCTGAACACCATTTCCTTCTGAGTCTCTACTCCCTCACCTGTGTTCTTCCCTTCTTTGATTTAGCCCTGTAACAGGAGGGCCTCTCGGCGCCGACTTCCCAGCGGCCCGCCCACCTGTTTCTTGGCTAACCGCCCGCCACATCTTGTTGTTAATAGTTTTTTTTTTCATAGATTTCATAGACATCAGGGCTGGAAGGGACCTCGGAAGATCATCGAGTCCAGCCCCCCGCCCAAAGGGCAGGAAGTCAGCTGGGGTCATAGGATCCCAGCAAGATAAGCATCCAGTTTCATCTTGAAGGTGTTCAGTGAAGGCGCTTGAACCACCTCCGGTGGCAGGCTGTTCCAGACCTTGGGGGCTCGGACAGTAAAGAAGTTCTTCCTTATGTCCAGCCTGAAACGATCTTGAAGTAGTTTGTGTAGTAATCACAACTACTACTAGTAGTAGTTTAATTGATCTTAATAAGCGGGAGGCTGCCCATTTCTTGCCCCGATGCGGTGAGTCCAGACAGGGGGCACTATCTGCGGCTGCGTTCCTCCCCTACACCGTAACTGAACCCTCGCAGATGACATCCAGATGTTCTCAACAGTCACCGGCCCCCCCACTGGGCCCCAGACTTCTCCAATCAGGACCCCTCTAAGCCCCCTCCATTCCGGCGGCCTAATCCGCCTTCATCCTGGGCAGCATAGCTCCCTGAACTGCTTCCCCTTCCGGGTGTGGTTCCCCACCCCAGGATCTTTGGCTACTAGTCCTGGCCCACCTGCAGGCCAGTTGGAGCCCCAGGCCCTCGGCTCTTGGGCCTTCCTCGCAGTGGGCCCCTGGCCCTTTGACCCTTCTGGTCCCGGCCCCAGCATTGACCAGTCAGGGGGTGTCCAGACAGGAATGAGTCTATGGCCCCACTCTCTCTCTCTGGGGTTCCACCTTCGACCCTACGAAGTGGGGAACCCACCCGGTTATGGGGGCTAGGGGTTAAGGTGCCCCAACCCGCTTTCGCCAGGGTGGTAACTGGTCTGACATTTCCTGGGGGCTCCTGCACCACTGAGAGCCCCAACAGTCCACCCACTCCCGGCAGGGTGCAGTTTTAGGTCGTACCCAGGACCAGAAGCCTCCTGACCATCCTCTACAGCTCCTCCCTTACCTCCAGATGATACCAGCAGCCCTGTGGCCATGCGATGTTGTTGCCTGGCCTCCCAGCAGCAAAATGCCCTGTTTATATGGGCAGTCCCAGATTCAAAATGGCTGCCCTCATTAGGCACCTGGCAGCTGTCAGCTCCAGGCCCTTAAAGTGGCAGGCACCCACAGTGCCCTGCCATAAGTCCCTACATTTTAAGGGAACCTTAACTATCACCCAACTACCCCTTCCCCTGTCTATTCGATTTCCAACTTGTGATACATTTGTCCTATGAAATGAAATTATTCTACCAACACAGTGTTGTTACTTCTAAAAAAAAGGTGAAGACTTCACTGTTCATAGTGTTTACCATTACCTGACTTGCTACATCAAGCTGCACAGCACTTGATTTAGTTTATAATCTTCTTTAGGCAGGAACAGTTCTCATGTATGGTTTTAAACTGTAAAGTACAGCAATAGTGTTCAATATACTAAACTTGATCTTAGTCCACAAAAGGCTGAGAAGTGTTAATATATGCTTTGAAACAAATGCATTCCCTAACAATTCTACTATTCTTTAGGAAAGTTTCCCCATGTTTTAAATGAAATATTTATGTTGAACAGCTTCTGTTGATAGCATCTTATGTCAAATCATTTTTATTTAATGCCTGCATTTTCAGAGATATTAGTACAGCCCTGGGATTACAAGTTAATTGTTGCAGCTGAGACAAGTACAGGGAACATAAAGCTTTTCTTTTTTCCTCAGAAATACCCAAATTAAAAACCCTGATATTCAGAGATAAGGGATACACTCAAAGTAGGATACATGCTTTTGTGCTATTTAGATGCCAGCATTTATACAAAGATTAATCCACTATAAACTTTCTCCAACTATTGCAGTCACAAGTAAGACAAGGTTAAGGCGTAGAAAGTTTAGAATGAAGTAGGTAATTACCTGACTCTCCCACCAATAGTGTATGCTTAGTGTGTTGCATCACCTTTCGTGCTACGCCAATAGCATTTTTTACGTGTCTGAGATCTGCTACAGACCCAACTTCCATGGTGTTGCTGAAAAGAGATTACAGTTGAGAGATACTTAAGGACTGCATAACTTAAATCGTGGCAAACAAAAATAGTTGTGTGCCCTTTGTTGTATATACTCTGAATTTGTTTACACTAGAAATGAGCAACCAATGTTTAAGTTCATCACGGGGGCACAGAAGGGAATTGGTGAAGTTTTATTCACCAAGGCGCCCCCGGGGGTTACAAGAAATAATGGCCACAAGCTAGCAGAGAGCAGATTTAGACTGGACATTAGGAAGAACTTCTTCACAGTTCGAGTGGCCAAGGTCTGGAATGGGCTCCCAAGGGAGGTGGTGCTCTCCCCTACCCTGCGGGTCTTCAAGAGGAGGTTGGATATGCATCTAGCTGGGGTCATCTAGACCCAGCACACTTTCCTGCCTATGCAGGGGGTCGGACTCGATGATCTATTGAGGTCCCTTCTGACCCTAACATCTATGAATCTATGAAATTGTATCATTTTTAATTATCCTGGCATAAAAGTCACACAAATCGGCACTAATAAAAGGAAGATTAACATTATAGGCAATCAGCTTTTTTGGCCAGTTTAACCGATAATGTCATTGATAAATGCCTCATGCATGTGCGCAGCTACAGCATGCACATGGCCAGGAATGCTGCTTGGCAGTGTGGAGAGCAGCATCCTGCTGGTAAGTCAGGGCGGGGTTGGGGGGAAGGAAGGGGCGTGAAGGGGGGAAGGAAAATGACAGGGACAAATCAAGGCCCCCATGGTGAGGGAGGGAGTGGGGCTGGGGTAGGCACTGACCAGGCAGGATGGAGCATAGGACAGAGTCACAGGAGGCTCATCCAGGGAGTGCAAGGGTGTAGATCCCTGCTGCTGTGTGCACCCCCAGGGGAGGCATGGGAGCATCTGCCTCCTCGATTTGTGTGTGTGGTGAGGGCAGGCTGCCTGCTGTGAGCTTAGGGCCAGGGGCTGCGCCACTCTTCCTAAAAAGAAAATATTTCTCTATTAGAAATCTGTTCTGAAAATCTCCAAGGCCTCACTCCTGGGGAAAAAAAACAGAAAACTGCATCTTTCTCCTTTCACTGTTTATTTAGTTGAACAGTAGCATGCATTCCATGCCATCTTTCACTTAAAGGGAGAATCTCTACTTTATTTTGGTTACAGACTGCCCACTTTAGCTCATCTCAGCTGCTTTACCTGTCAACCATTAAATGAAAAGCAGTGACTGCAAAATAAATGCTCAGTTAGATTCCAAATGTCCTGGTGCTATGGCACCTGCCACCTCCCTGCCCGGACTGCTCTTTCCTCAGTTTCACTACAGTGCAATGACTGGTACCCAATACATAAGTATGTGTTTATATCAAAGTGTTCTACAGATCCCCAAAATCAAACTTTTGCAGGCAATTTTCTTACCCATCCATTATCATAGCATCTAACGTTGTTTCTCCATGTTCATCTGGGCTTCCTCCAAACCCCACACTTCCATCACACTGCACAATTTCGCACTGACCACAGCCTGTTTCGACTGCATCCAACTCAGAGCCTCCTGACTGTAAAGTACGCCATGCTGTCAATCAACAAATGATAAAATTTGTGAGTGAAAATAATGAGCATCTAATGTTTAATGTTTGAAATCTTAAAACAAAAAGAAGATGGATGGAGGCAAAAATAAATTATTTAAGTGTCAATAATTGGTAAAATCATCAGAGAACGTTACTCAAAATACAAAATCTTTATTTTTTTCCCCCATTTTGATTAGTGTTTCTGAATGGAAAGTGAGGCTGTTTTTCTAACTGAAGTAGTCTTGTTCAACACTCTCCATAATTCGTATGTATTTGGTGTACCAAGTAAAAACCCACAAATAATTTATATAAGTAGAACATTATATAATTAGAGTGCTTCTGCTACCGGGGAAGGCGGGAGTTACTTTAAGTCATAGTCATAAAAGTTGCTTCGCCTAAGCCCACACAGACCTCTATTAAATATTTACAGTTCCACAAGGAATGACTTGCAAGAGTACGAACTATTAAAAGTTTAAGAAAACACAACCTAAACAAGTTTTTAAGTGTTGCTCAAGAACAATTTTAAAGAGAATCCGGAGTTCAATTATCACTCAGTTAAAAATGTGAAGGGTGGAATTAAAATTAAAGCAAAGCAATGAAAGAAAAGTTCATGCAACACCAATGACCTTAGTCTATTTTTTATCTAATGTTTTCTGTCCTTTAATATCTGTTCACAACCTGAACTTGCAAAACTTTATGAGTCACACACATCCATTTTGGCTGAACTTGGTCAAAAGTCTTAATTTCATGAACTGTTTCACAAGCTTGGACTCTGAGACTATGTATGGCCAGAGGGAAGTCAAGCAAGCCCCTACTTGGGTGCAATGTTTGAGGAACAGCTTGCAGGGTTAAGACCTGACCCAGCAAATGCTTTGTACATAACTAACTCTCAAACCAATGTGGCTTGAAACAACGCTATTCATAGTTAATGGAAGCAAATGTTTGTAGTTAGAGCGTCACTGTGTAAAGTTGCATTTTTGGATGATCGGTTTAACCAAAAAGTTTAACCAAGAAATGATGATGTTATCAGCGCATTTCCTTCTTCCACAAATTATCATGCATGTGTGAGTATACATGAAGCCACACATCAGTAGCACCCAGTACACATGTGTGTGAAGCTGCAGATCACTAGTACCTGGTGTGTGTGAGCGTGTGAAACTACACATTAGTAACATGGGGGGAGGGCAGGGGTTGAAGCTACACGCTAGTAGTGACCAGCATGCGCATGTGTGAAGCTATATACCAGTAGAACTTGGGGGGAGTGTACACATTCATAAGTGAAGCTACACATCAGTAATGCCCAGGGTACACACATCTCCGTGAAATTGTACATCAGTAGTGCCCAGTGCATGCATGTATGCGAAGCTGCATATCAGTAGCACCCAGTATCTATGCATCAACCTGCAGCTGAGTAGTGATGATGATGGGGGGGGGAGTGAAAATACACACCAGTAGCACCCAATGTGTGCATGTATGAGACTACACATCAGTAGTGCCTGGAGAGCACCTGGGTCCTGCGTTGCTACACATCAGGAGTGCCCAGGGTATAGGTGTGCACGTGAAGTCATACCTGGCATGTGTGCACACATTCAAAGCTACACATCAGGAGCACCTGGCGTGTGCATGTGCGCACACATTCAAAGCTACACATCAGGAGCCGCCGAGTGTCTGCCAGCAGCACCAGGGGTGCGTGTGCCAGGCTCCATATCAGCAGTGCCCACTGCCCTTGTACCTCGAGCCCTGTGGTAACACCCAGCCCAATAAAGCCGCTGGGGCCCACGACTGCCTGAACCCGGGGCCCCAGGCAGGGCACGGAGCGCCGCGGGCACCTCCCAGCTCTGCCCGGCGGGGCATAGGAACCCGCCCCGGCCCGTCTCCCCGCGGGGGAGGCGCGCAGGAGCCGAGGAGCTAATACCTGCAGCCGCGCGCCCGCCCACAGACCCCACCTGTCTCCGCCGCCCCGCGGAAGGCCCACGTGTTGAGCACCAGCGGCAGCGGCGCCGCGCGCACGCCCAGCACCAGCAGCAGGACCAGGAGACGGAAGCAACGCCCCGGCGCGTTGCCGAAGCGCGCCATGGCCGGGCCCATGTGACCCACCCGCGGCACCACGTCCGGCACGGCGGCGCGTGCGCACTGCGCAGGGCCCGGCGAAGGGAGAAGCTCCTCGAGCCCCGCCCCTTTCCCCCTTCCCTTGTGCGCTCCACCCCCCGCCTCTGAGGGCGTTGCTGTTCCGAGCTTCTCGCTCCGTGTTGACCGTGGCATTTCTCCTGCCGGGCAAGCATGGGACTACCATCAAGGAGAAGCCACCATCAAGGTGTGAAGTGCAGAGACCCAGTGTAGTACAAATACATTAGATTTTAAACATAGGACTTGAAATTAAACATGATGCTTTATTTTTTTGCAATATGCTTCTGTATTTAACATAGCTTGCTGACAGCTTATGCATATGGGTTAAGGACAGCTTTACACATAGAGTTTCAAAACCGCACCTGTTCAATGACCTAGAATTACACGAAGATAAGGGGTTACTAAAGGGCATTGAGTTTACCACAGCTTCCCCAACACGCATGCGCCTTCATCTATCCCATAATAAGTTGAGTCTAACTTAAAAGGCCCTGACATCCTGTG